TTGATCATGCTGATCATATTGATCATGTCTATGTATGTTGAACATGTTGATTATATTCATCATATTGATTATGTCGGTCACATTGATCATATTAATTATGCTGATCATATTGATCATGTCTATGTATGTTGAACATGTTGATTACGTTCATCATATTGATTATGTCGGTCACATTGATCATGTTGATTGTATTGATCATATTAATCACATTGATCACACTGATCATATTAATTACATTGATCACATGGATCATGTCCTTCATTTTAATATCAATCCCAAATTAATATTTACAGAAATACAAACATATTTATTTACTTATTTTTGTCCCATCCCAATCTTTAATTTAAAAGCAGCTATGCAGTGCACGCAGCCAGTTTCAGTGTTAATTTAATTTTCCATGGAAGCAGAGTGTTTGATAATGTACAATAATCTTCTGGCATGTGCTCCAGGTTCGCAGTAAACGCAACAGTAAGCACTTTACGATTATTAACCCGTAACCGCTATGGTGGGGATCTGGAGTACATTCAAGTAACAGATGACATCAAGTGTCTCAATAGTCTTTAATTAAGCTGAATCTTATCATTTGCCAACTCCCTGCGTTAATGACGACTTTCGGTTGGAAATTAGGGAAGTAAATATGGGGATGCACCATGACTGCTGTAATGAGACTCTTTTGTGCTATATGAAGACATATGTGGATGTGAGGATACTTTTGAAATTCAAGACGTTTCTAAATTTCTAGATACTACAAGTTTTTTGCGTTTGGATATTTATTTTTTAAGGCATGTATTTTTATTATTTCTTGGATTCCTAGATCAGGTATCTTAGATAGGAGGATGTAGTTAAGTCCATGTGCTCAAAGTGGAGGATAGACCATAGTGAATTAGATTTCTATTAAATTAGACTTTGAAATACATCCCAAATCCACACCCAAGGTCTATGTACTCATTCTTTGATCTTTAGATCCCTATGTCAGTCAAGTTTTAGATCCTCTACATATACCCCACCCACATAAACTGCATCCACTCTTATGATTACTAATGCAACACATGTGACGTATACATGTGAAGTCGAAGATATCCACTTAGACGTTCGTTCAGAACAAACAGCAGACGAGATACACAACGCACTAAATTGTGAAACATACAAAATAAAATTGTTGTAGATCACCAACAGGTCGACCAGTGGACGACTGCTCACAATTAAGTTCAAGGACAAATTCCATCAGCAAGAAGTTACTTCAGCCTCTGAGAAAACGTGTGCACACGGTCGCTGTATACACGACCCTCCGTGGCTGAGTTACGAGGGGGATGAAAAGTAGGACGAGCATCGTAAAAGAAGTGCAGGCCAAGTTGCATTCCACCTGGTATGTGGCAGCATTAAAATTTACTTTCAGAGTTTCCTGTATTTATTGGAGCTGTTCAGCTATTGGTGGATACTGTTGGAACACCGTAATAACGTTTCAGCGATATACGGCTCGGGTCAAAGTTGGAGACTATCTGATTTCTGTTACGGTGTACTTTGTACAGTGATGAAGTCTCATGTCTTTTTGTTCTTGATGCTCTTGAGCATTTAGCTGTTTTGTTGTTTCATAGTTTTAGCTTCAAGTTTAAATTTTTAATTTTTTAGTTTGCAATTGTTTTATGTTATTAGGTTTTGACTTTGAGGTTGTCTTTAAATTTTTGCAGAGTTTTGTAGATTTATGGATTGATAGATTTATTAGTTTATGTAGTAAGAAAATTTTAGATTTACAATTTTATAAATTTACAAAGTTACAAATTTACAAATTCACAATTTTATAAATTTCAAATTTACAAATTTACAATATGACAGTTTATAAATTATTAAATTTACAAATTCACAATTTTATAAATTTACAAATTTACAAATTCACAATATGACAGTTTATAAATTATTGAATTTACAATATAACAAGTTATAAATTATTAACAACCACAACTACTAATTCTTTCACTGAAATTTCTCTAACAAAAGAATTATTTTACAATTCGTCCACATATGATAAAATTCGTAAAAGACAATCAATCATTAAAGACAATTCGTATTTCTATTTCCACCAAATAAAATTTCAAGTACGAAGAAAATATGAGGTACTCGAATAAAATGAAAAATGTAAGCGAAGAGTAGGATTAAATAACGTTATTAAAAGAGAACAGAGCGTCCCAATATTTTTCTGATAACACCATAATTCTTCTCGACGGCGTGTCTCTCCCAGCGATTTTTAACGTTTTCTACACCCCATTGCGAAAAAGAGGAGAGAACAACTGCAACTCGACGCGTTCACCCACAATTACGCCTGGATGCTCTTTAACGAGAGCTTCGAAACACGATGCTCGTTGCAGAATTTTCTAACAAGCAGGATCTCGTCGTGTTCGAACGGGGATAAAATAATCGTCGAAAGAACGGGATTCTTCTGCGACAACGTCAACTGTGTTACCAGGAACGTCGCATTTAAATCGCAAACAAATGGCTCCAGAGAGGTGTGCAGCTTAATTCGTATTTTATTACGGACTCGATTCATGACTGCTGATTTTTATTATTCAACGGAACGTCACGGTTACACGGGTTTCAACATTTAAATATACAGTTACGATATTGTATTTGGAGTCCGTGACGCATGGAACATTCATAGAATATAAACAGACATTGTGATTGAAGAGTATCGCTTCTGGTTTTCGGTCGAAGAATTCACTGTTATACAACAGATTTAAACTTAATTTTATATTGAATATTCTCTAAATTTTTTACCCTTGCGAAAATGTACCCTTGCTAATTTTAGAATAAATGCAAAATTTTTTTATTGTGAGAATAATTTGTTTTTGTACAAAGAGGGTTGAAATATTTTAAATAGAAGTTTTAATGTGTGGATACAAAAATTCACATATGTAGATGTGTATGTGTAGGAACAGAAATTCATGTATGTATAAACAAATTTCTAAGTTAGAAAAAATGAGTCAATAAATTACATCAAATCTCTGTTTATAGAGGAGTCAGTAAAAATAATAAAATATGTGGTACAATAGTAAGATACAAGGTTATGAATCACCAGAACCAAGGAAGTAGAACAAAATTTACATAGTTATTTATAGCTTCCTACATTTTAATCTCCCGCCAGTTATAGTACATAAGAGGTCGAAATTTTCCTCGTTTTCAATACGTCAGAGAGTAATGAAGCGAGAAATTCAAAAAACGTATGAAATCTATTGATGAGTGCATATGACCTATTTTTGGACTTGTACGACTGGAATCAAAATGATTTAGACTTGAAATATTCTACAATTTACATGGACTATTTATACAATTAAAACTTGAAAGAGGTAATAAGGGTACATATTAAATTAAGTTCTTTTTCCTTCACAAGGGGTCTTTTTGCAGGGGTACATATTAAGTTTCAAGTTCTATTTGATGACTAATCTCCAATATTTTTCTCTATTCTACACCCAGTAATTATTGCAACCATTTGCTATTTAATTTACATTTTGGTCAGATTTAATTTTCATTTTATTCCACATTGAAAAATCACATTTCACCTTCCTCTCTAGTTTATTTTACAGCAGTTCTTTAATTCATTAAAATATCAATAAAAGTTTCATGAAACTCAGAACTACAAGAGAATAAAACCAAAATTCCCCCAAAATAATTAACAGGTGAACTGATTGCTACTGAACAAAACAAAACAAGTTTATTCAAGAACAAAAATACAATTGAACAAATAGAAATGAATTGCGTACATAGATAACATACAGCGCAGAAAGCTAGAACACAAAATAAGCACGAAAATAATAAACATACAAAAACACAAACATTCCAGAAATATGGCCTATAGTCTCCAGCGATAAAAAATCATTATGGCTCTTCCTCCGATGTCCTAAGCACGTGCTTATTCTGCCTAATGGTTAATTCAGCCGTGTTTACAGTGGTTGTCAATGATTCGAATAGGGTGGAATTTCAGCCCTTAACAGTCTTTAAGGTTATTACCATTCCGTGAACAAATGACGTATTAAATCGTCGAAGAACGTTGAACTTATATCGTTTATATGTTGAACATAGAGAGTTTATTAGTAAAGCGTCCTCCAGTGTTTATTGTCAAAATTATCTTCCAGTTATTATCAAAAGTATCTTCTAGTTATTATTAAAATGTCTTCCAGTGTTTATGCTATTAAAATGTCCTCCAATGTTTATGCTATTAAAATGTCCTCCAGTGTTTACGCTACTAAAATGTGCTAAACGTCCTGCCAGTTCTGTATTTATAAAAAGAGATGATGTTAATTGATGAATAGCTACAAAAAGTTGTACCGCACGTGAAACCCTCGTCCTGATCGAACCTTCGGATTTCTACTTACCCGTTTACTCCTTCTGAGTCAACATTTTCTACATACGTCATCGTACTGTCCAGAGCACGAGAGAAAAGTAGCGGGACGGGAACGGGGCAAAGAGGGTAGGCCGCTAGGACCACCTAATCCCCACTTTTCTACTCACGCGTAGCTCCCACCGTTCATCCGTAATGGTGTGGTTTTACATAGGTATAGAAACAGATATTGCTACTATATGTTAAAAAAAACTCTATCTTTTTCCTCTTACGCGATGCGTAAAACTTTTGGACACTACGACAATGGAATGCCGCTCAACATATTGCTCGTTCTGTCTCGCTTGTTCTACATATATCTGACCCACTCTCCGCGTCACACGACCGATTAATGTATGTGTGCGCCTCGACAAATAGCGTGTTGTTGCCGAAAATGCGTGTGACAATAGGCGGCAACGTTACAATCCGACCACTGCGATGCTCTTTTCGTCCCTCTAGCCCCGTTCCCGTCCCGCTACTTTTCTCTCGTGCTCTGGACAGTACACGCGGTGCATGCTTACGCGTGCGCGCGCGCGTGACCATCCCTATGCAAAGGAACATAAACCCACACGCATACAAAAAAACGCATACAGCCAGTCACGCAGTATCGTTCGTCAAAGCTTTATACTCTCACCATCGAACGATGTGTCATACATCTCTTTCCCTTTCTATCATTTCGACACAACTGCCCCCCTCATCGACACACACCGATGCGAGCACAGCTGTCTCGTTCTTTCTCACGATTTCGTTACTCACTTGCCGATAATCTCGCAGAGCTCGTAAACCTCGTCGAAGAGAACCTCGTCGTCCGCCATAGTGGCGACGAGGAGGCCGAGTGAGTCGACCGAACGAGGGGTGTAAACGCGCCAAAAGGCGCGTCAACGCTATGCGAATTCGTAATAATTCGTGAAGGTGTGCAATCTCTTTCCTCTCGCGTCTCGTGTGGCTTGGTCCGAGCACGTCGTTGCTGTCGTGTGTTTCGTTTCGTGTCGTGCCGTGCGGAATACGCGGCGGCGTGAACGTAGCCACGAATCGTGGATTCACGGCCGTTCGCTTCTCCCACCCTCTCTTCTCGCGCTGTCTCTTTCCGTCACGGAGCAGCGGCGATACGTTCTCCTCTACGCACACGTTACGCACAAACACACATCTATAGGCGGCACACAATCGCGGATAATACAGCCGTGTATCACGGCCGACCGTGGTCGCACTGGCACTCGATCAGTAGACACCAGTCCGTAACCGTAGAACGGAGTTATGTTGGTAAACCGTGCGTGCGGGATCGCACGATGGCAACGGAGCCGAATACACAATCGACACCGCCTTTAAACTTTCGCTTGCTCACGCCGGCTAAAGTCAGCGTATACAACTGACGGTAATACGTAGCAGGGACGTTAACACGCCTGCTGTGCCGTCCACCTCGGCACAAAGAAAACCGGATCCGCTCGAATCGGTTACCACAACGAGACGGTCAGCCTTACGATCGAGAAAGACCGACCTACGAAAAACGGCCAGACAGACACTGCACACACACTTTCCTCGTCTGTCAAAGGCTGGACGAGTAGACTCACTCGCTCCGAAGCAAGACTGGTTGCATAAAACGCGGCGAGCGACTGCGCCGACTTACATCTGCCCCTCTGCCCCGACGGAATATCAGCGCAGCGATGGTGGGGCGGGCGTGGCGCCGCTTCGCGTGCAACCTTTGGCGCTTTAACGCGATGCGCCTCTTTGCTTCTTTTTCTTTGGCCGCGTTATTCCCTTACAATGTGTTGTACTCTATCCAAAATAGGATCATCTTCATCAGCCGTCGATCGTTGCAATAAAATTTTTATGACAGACTGCTCTTATGGTAACTGTCTTAACTTATCGGTTAGGGGATTCCAAGAGAACGAATATTAGATTTTAAAACGTTGATGTATCAGTACATAATAATTCATAATAAAAATTTGCACAATAATAGATAATAAATGGTATTGTTAAAGGAGATAAATTGTTTTTATTGGGAATGAGCTATTATGCAATATATGTAAATTTCCTGAGTTATAATAAAAGTTACCATTTTCGAATCGCATGCGATATTATCGGTTTACAGAATAAAATGGCAGCGCTGCGGTAGAAATGCATTTGGCACTAAAGTTTTAAATTACGAGGAAATTGTAATTGAATGTAACGATTGTCAATCAATTATTTTCGACTCATAGCACACAAGATATGTAATAGTTTATTTATATTATCTTTATAACAGTATTGCAAAATGCCTTGTCTGAATGGAATAATGTATATGAATATATAAATATGTATATATGAATAAAGTATACAATAATACTTTAATAGTAATTAATACTATTGTAATACTTTAATAATAATTAATACTATTGTAGTACTTTAATAATAACTAATACTGTAATAATTTAATAATATCGTTTCATAATACGTCTTATGTGCCTCCTCATATTTAATATCTCAAGTCTCATGACAAAGATGGACGCGCAACGGTCCCATTTCGCAAAGATAATATATTTAAAAACTTACTTTCTGCTTCACCGACTGCGAGGCAAAATTGGAAAATTCTTCATGACCGACGACTTGATAATCAGCACAGACACTTTTACACTAACTAGGATTAAAAATTCACAATAATTTGTTTAATTAACACAAGCTGTTTAAATTATGTAACCGTTGTCCGCCAGAAGCTGAAGAAATTTCCCTCCAAATGTTGGAATTGTAACTCCATGCCACGTGATGGATGTACTACGTACTAAAAATTTGCCGTCCATCTAGCGGTGAGAGGTGGAACTACAATAATACAAGACTGCAATTTTTAATAAAATCAACGAATTTTAAGTATTTCTGTAGCTTATACACTGCTAGATGATCAAATTAGAAGAGAAATAATATTATAAAGGCCTTTTGAAAGCTCTGGAAAAGAAAATATGACTTTTTATAATTTCCTTATATGCATATTCGAACATACGATTTTTAGTTCGCCTCTTTCGCCGCTAGATGCACTTTTTATCCTGTGTCATGAATTTAAATAAACAATCCTATCTGCACAATTTACCCTACATTTAATTATTTACTGTACTTTAATTAACTTCTAAGCTCAAACTTCAAACTTTAAATTTTAATTTCAAATTACATAATTCATGGAAAAGTTTGATTACAAATATTTTCAAATCTTGCCGCCACGTGGCGCCACACGTACCGTTCTCAGAGCCCGCCCTAATATAAACTAAAAAAAAAGAAATTCAGGTAAAAATAGGACTTCCATATTAATTTTTTTAAATAAGTTTATTATCTTTCTTTAAACGATCTTACATATCGTTCAACTGTTGCGCTAATTAATTAATCATGAAACAATTTTACCGGTTCTTCAACAGCATTAAAGAATGCACATACAATCACGTGCAACTTAGACTTTCCTTAATTAAAAGGAAGTACATATAAAGAAAGAAGTATTCCACTATCCGTCTTGTGTGTCCATGTTCTGTAATGTGCCGGGTTCCGGGTTAACCTCTCCCTAGATTTTTTCCTGGTTCCCCTCAAGACTGAATGCAAGATGTGGGAATCCCCTCCATACATTTATCATTAATCAAGAAAAGCTTGCGTTGCATCCTAGTATACCTTATTTGTGATGTATGATCACAAGACAGCATGTACTATTCAGCAAAAACATATATGTGGTACATATATACTTGCCTATCTCTAACGTCGTTAAAGTCAGCAATCTTGCAGTATGTTTTCATGCATACGAACTTTGTCCTCGTTCCAGAGAAGGATTATTTAAAATTTTGAAGCTATGTAACAATTTCAGAGTGCAAATAATGAACAAACGTAGAATTGAGAGCACAATGTTCATTTAGAATAAATCATTACTATTCAATAAGTGTTAGATTTAAAACAAGTGTTGGAATGTTCTATGTAAACAAGTGAATCGTCGAACTCAACAATCGAAGCAGCGAATACTCGTTCATTTTGCCAATGTTGGAAGATTCGGCCAGTCGAAACGCACCCTAAAGTGTTCCAAAGCAGACGATCCTCGCACTGACACTCGTAAATTCATCGTGCGTGAGTGCGTAACACGCGTGCACAATTTACCGTGCTTTATACGTGATTCTGCGCGCAGTAAGGGGGATTTGGTGCTGGGTGGGGTCTAAACGATGAATCCCTTCTCTTCACGTATCTGATTCGATCTGATTCGAGTCAGTTTCGCGTAGTGCAACAGTATCCTTTGTGCCCGACGCGTAATACGCGTGCAGCGATATCCATGTAATGGCAGCGTTAAATACACGCGAACCAAGGACCGTTTGCAGACCGTAAATGTCCCGAGACATGTTCGACTGGTTCGGAATATATTTGATGCCCGTTCGAAACCAACGGAATGAATTCTGATTCACGAAAGTGAAGTTTACACACGCTTTTGTATTTCATCTGTCAAGATAACGAACGACACAGACGTACAATATTGCGAAAGCGTAAAGGAGGTGTGGAGATCTTATCAAACGTTATCGCCGCTACAGTGGAGATACTGACCTGAGTTATTGCTTCGCGATTTTTAGTTTCTCCAGCAATGTCGAACGGATTGTGACTGACGTTTTTCTGAGTCACCTAGAATTTTTGGCAAATGTACAAAGAATTCGCCCTTCGCCTAATACTTATCTGAATCATTCAGCCGAACATCTTCATGGAGGTTAGCAAAAAGTATTATTTCTATTTATATGTACGTACACAGAGTGATGTGTAATTGTTTATAATGGAAATTCTACTTTGAGGTGTTCATAGTGTAAACATATCGGTACATGGAATTGAAGTCTAGTTACTTAAACAAAATATAATCCATTTAATGGTATTGTTACAAAGTGTCTGAATAAGCATATTTTTAAACATCATCTGCATTTATATAGATATATATATTTGTAAGTAGTTACATTCATAAACCATTTTTACTTTCTCAATTTTAGTTTAAAATTTTACTTTACTTTAGTTTTAATTTTACTTTAATTTTATAATACGTAATGAATTTTAATAATTAATCTTTTTTCTTTTTTTCAGGTAATATAATATTTAAATATATAAAATTATTTATTCGTAATGGAAAAGAGAAGTATTAGTGGAAAGGATATCCTCAGAATGGATGGTCTTTTACCACCAACCCGGCGAGTGCCTGTCTGCAACGCAGTCACTTCTAGAGATAAAAGGAAGGAGAAGAAATGGTCACTCGGAGGAATCCTTAGAAGAATATCCTCTATGAGGGATTATGATAGTTCTTCGAATGACGAAGAAATAGTATATTGTACAAGATCACCAAGGCCTCACAATGTATTTAACCGAAAATCTCACAGCAACGTTATTCTCCATCCTGTCGATAAAAATGCAGAACAGTCTCTCAGTAATAATCCAGACCATGACAGTATTGCTAAATCATTGGATACATCATCTTTACAAAGGGATTCTGTGCATCGTAGTAGTGACGGATCACTAGATGGACTAAGTAAAAAAGCACGGAAGAACAAATTAAAGGCTCGAATAGAAGCAAAAAGGGACCGTATCTGTGCAGGCAGTAGTTCAGATGAAGAGTCGCATAAATCTTGCAATTCTTTAACCAGATTTCACAATGAAAATGGTGTACAGAGTACACAGAAAAATGGTTCCTGCAACAGAAAGAGTCGTGCTGCGCGTACAGAGCGTTACATAAAACGTATATCCAGAGATGAAGGACACAGATTACCCGAAAACTTAAACAACATTGGGAACAAACGCAACAGTCTCGAATTTATGAATGAACGATCATCCGTAGCTGTAGATACGTATGAATTATTTCAACCCCAACAGCAATCTTTTATCAATTATTCAAATAGTAATACGTTTCCTGTACAAAGATCTGTTGAAAACTTAAGACAATCAGGGGTGGCTGTATCCAGTTTCCAAGCAAGATCATCTAACGATCTCACAAAGCCTCATATGAGCAAATATATAACAGACTTAAATCAAAATAATACGTATGCAAAGCCGAATGTTCTGCAGAAGAGTAAGAACCACGATGAAAGTTTATTTGATTCATCGGTTAGTACAAATTATCCGGAGACTTATACTTGTACGAAAAGTCGTCAATTCATAAATCAAAGTTCCTCGCCACCCGAACCACCACCAAGAGACCCGCGTTTTCGGGCGTTCGGTTATGGCTGCAATTCATTTCCGTTTAATGGAAAATATTCTACAAGACACGATGATACCTTGCGTATGAAAATGAACGACATCCACGAGGTCACCAAAGACCACTTGAAAGGCCTAAGGTCGTACGATTCTAGCAATGAAATCAGCTGGTGTGGCTCGAACAAGCAATGTCCACGACGTCCATTGTCTCTAACTGTAAGTTCCACGCAGTCCTGCAATTTATCCGAGTGTACGAACAACAAACATAATTCAACCGGTAGACATGTGGACGACCCTTTAATTTACGAAACAGAAGCAATGAAGTGTCAGAGAAGAAATAATCGCAACGATCAACTAAACTCCAGATTTCACAACTACGATTCTTATACACAAAACATCCGGAAGAGCGCTTTGTCACCTTCCTCTAACAAGATTTCAGATACCTCGCGTATAAGATCTCCAACCAAGCGCGTTCCGAGGGAAGATGAAGTACCTGCGGTGAATATGAGAACGAAACAGAAGGAACAGCAAAGACCAACCGAGCAGGAAATATTGGAAAGAAGAAGGAGTTCAAAGAACCTGGAGGAGGCGCTTTCTGAGCTGGAGGCGATATACAACAGTCTCCGTTTAGGAGATGAAGACCTCCTCGATCGGGCCGAGCGACGCAGTATGGAAGAATTCAGTTTGCGCCAAGCAAAAACCAGCAATAATATTCCATATATTTCAGAGGATCCAGACCGAACAAAAGACGACATGGCTTACAGAAGAATGCATCCAAAGGAGAGGCCTGCATCTTTGTCGGAAGCGGTTGGTCAATCCGCGCTCTCTAATATCAGTTACCTAATAGCCTCTCCGGTGTTAACACGCAAAGACTCTGCCGACGATTTCGACTACACCGGAAACTATCCAGCACGCAGAGACGAGCCGGACGTGACTCGCGACGATGTCGTTTATCGAAGCATCCATCGCGCCAACAACACTCTGAAGGTGATGGACCCACAACCGCCGTTCGGTATACCTTTAGGGCCCGTGACAACTGCCCCTGAAAGCGACTACTTGCACACAACGCCAACAAAGCCGGACCATCCTCGTTCCTTGTACATACCACAATGCGAGCCAGACATTGTTACAGACGATTTGGCCTACCGAACACTTAGGAAAGATGCCAGCACGAAGAATACCGTTGAAAGTAAAAACAGCACCACGGACCAGGAAACCGCTTTTGGTACCAAAAAGAAGCGGGCAGTTAGATCTCTCTCCGCCAATCTGTATGGGTTGATCAATCACGACGCGATCCATCTGCGAAGGGAACCCAGTCTTCAAGAGATCACGGACCAGATCAGCGACACGGTGATCGACATTGGATCGTTACCTGCCAGGTCCGGTTGCTTCAGACGCGTTGTAAGCGACGGCGAACTGTCTGATTATGACACTCGATGGAGCCCCTTGAAGGTCAGCAAGACCGACATAAACGGAAATCACTCTGTCTCGAATTTACAAAGGAAAAAACTGCGCGTTTACGTTGCACCATCGACTAGGATACAAGATCATGATCAGAAGAGCGAAGAAGACGTTCGGTCACAGTCTTCTAGTGCCATACTGTCCAAGGCATTGAACAATGAGTTCTGGCAAGACCCCGTACAGACCAAATGCAACGATACAGTTGATAAAGACACAGATTCGGACTTCACAGCGTACAGCCGGCTGTGCCAAGACCTAGTGAACCTGATAGAAGGGTCAAACGACACGGAAGTGAAAGAAACCAGTCAGACGGATACATTAAAGGAGATGAGCGAATCTCCAATGTTGCGTATCCAGTCTCTGGGCAGCCAATACGCGAAGGATGACGAGGAAAATGTTGAAGAACGGGACGTTGAAAAAGATAAGGACGTTGAAGAGCTGACGGAGTCCCTGGCTAATCTTGAAGACTCCGAGAAGACTGACGATAGCGCGTTCGACTTCTATCTTCGTGTCGCTGACGAAAATGTTAAACTAATTGCGGAGGCGTTCAGCAGCGTGGCGGATCACTTACGTGATAGTCGTGTAAGCCAGAAGAATTCGCTGACGTCGCAACGTTCTGAAATAGAAACCGATAGTACTGCGCCCAACACGAGTACTCGCAGTTCCGTTACGTATAGTCCAGATGATGCGAACGATGACTTTTTTGGTGCGTCAAAGACCACCGATGCGTTGAGCATAGTTCCTAAAGAAGATGCAACGATGACCTTGAAACAGGACCAGGAGGAAGTGGAACAGGAAGAGGGGACGAATGTGGACCCGGAACTCGATTTGTCCAAGGCCGTTCACGATTTACAGTTAGCGGCGGCGAGTTTGTGCGAGCACGAGAAGGAGATCGAGGAATTAGAGGCGTTGCTGAGGAAAGATTCGAGCGTTGAGATCAAACAGGACGAATGTCAGTTAATCGCAGAGGAAGGTGGCACATCGGACGAAGAAAAAGATACGGAAAAAACTGTACTACCGACCGATGTTAATTTAGAATCCGACGAACGCGACCCAAATTGCGAAGGTGAGAGTACTGATTGCAAGAATGTTTGCAAATACGTCGATACCGCTCGTTCAACTGAGAAGCGTATTTCGTATGTTACTAACCTCATAACCGTAATGATTACTACGTATTCCGTGGTTTTGCTGGCTTGTTTTCTTGCACTGCTTTTAGCGACGGTAGCAGTATCATGACCGGCCCATTAACCGACAGTGTCTTAAAATGCATTTTTTTGTGAAGGTTTGATGCGAATACGTTATCATTTATTTAGAGGCTATTATTATTTGAATTATGTTACTAATGTCGTAGGTCTCCTGGCACATGATCATTCATGATGTGAACCGTTCGAATAAAGAGTGAATAAACTAACCGATACACAACGTCGTTGAGCGACATGCGGCAGGACAATTGAATTTTGTGTAAGGTCTGTGGACTGTTTCAGAAGGAATGATTCGTTCTTGTTGTTCTTGTTAATGTTGTTGATTTAATAAAGTTTAAATGTTAACGACGACGTTCATTTCATTCTACACATAGGTATATAATTGTACGATTATTTCTTTACTACAGTGGTTTTTGTATAAATAGCAAATGGAAGATTACGTATCTAAGGGAGCAAAAAGCTTGTTGAATTTGTAATCCAATAATGGAATCATTTTTTTTTTTATAGTCTGTGATAAGAAATAGATATACACAAATATATTTGCGCAACGCATTTGAAATTCCCGCGCAGAGGGCGCTGTCAGGGGGTTAAATATAGACACCTAGGAATTTTATAACTTTGCAATGATTTTTAAACTTTAGGGCTATACAACTTTTGGATTACAAATTTGGGATTTTGAGACTTAAACTCCGAACAGAATTTCAAATTATCAACTCTTATTTTATTAAAGTGGTAATAAAATTTATACTCCCATACGTCACTTCATTCATGCATAATTTCATAAATCCTTTCTGTTTGAATTGCAAATTTGTCCTTCAGATTTATTTTTTTTTTAACAGATTAACTAGTAGAAATTAGTCTCATATTTTATCCTCCAATGAGAAACTTAAAATTTAGATATTTTCTTGTGTCCAGAAATAAATCGACACGTCTTATCAAAATCCTTATGTCTATTTTAAAAATAGCATTTACAAAAACACTATTTAATACAATAAATTGATTCTAGGCTCCATAGAATATCATAAAGATATAATTAGCTAGTAATTAAAATAAATATTAATAAATCACAATTATTGTTTTATTTAAAAACTATTCAAGTTTATAGAACTACCAAAGTCTGCAGTACTTCCCCTTTTCAACAAATTAAATAACTTCTAATTAAAAATTAAATAAGTACGCATTCAATTTAAATATTATATATACACTCAGGTATAAAAATTTTTAAAACGCAGTATCCTATTCGATACATTAAATTTATCATCATTTATTTTTGGCCCAAGCTGCTCAGAGTGGTCGGTAAAATCATTCTCTTGTCCTAATGGTAACAAGTTCTTTTTTTAAATCAGCTTCACAAACATCAAAGTATCCCATTTTTATTTGTGACACATGACTGAATGGGTATATTAATGCTGTTATTGAATAAATGGGTTTATTTTGTGGAAACAAGTTAAATGCGATCATACCGCAAGAGAGATGTGGCGCAGTGAAACAGAACATTGATCGTGTGTAGTAGTTCTACAGTAACGGGTTAGAAGGGGTTTAGTCGAGAGTAGTTATCGATTGCAGACTCGCGTGACGTCATCACGGATCACGCCACATCCCCGCCCATGAAAACTCGGCTTCTGATTGGTTCACGTGCAGGCCGGCTATCTATATCGAAAAGCATGACCGTCGCGGTTTAGCAGGTCAAATCTTTGAGTCCTTACATGCGCATATAAATTGATTTACAACGTATTTTTCCATTTTACCTACATCCATTCGATCAATTTGCCATGGTTTTCACTTTACTGCGTCATATCAATTAAAATCGTACAATTCCTATGCGGAAAATGTTGAACTGCACGCATTCAATTATATCGAAAAATTGGCGGGAGATTTCAAATCAAAATTGCGATCACCTTCTAGCGACGCTTACGTCGTAGACAAATTTGACTATCGATCAAAGTTACAGTCTGTAACGACCTCAAAATTCACTGAAATCGTATTTCGCCAGATTTTGTCGTATTTCTCTCATTGATTTCCTCGGTTTAAAGCTTGCAAATTGCAAGATGGCCGCAACTGGACCGAGCATGTATAGAGTAGTCGGTGTTCTGCGCTGGCGTTAGTGCGTACGGAGAGTAGGGTACGTTCAGTTTCGCCGAAATATACGCAGTATCCCCGAAACCTTAATGTACGATAGGTTAAAAGTTTGACATGTGTTCGAGAAGAAGTGCCTTACAGAAAGAAGAAACGGCAATGTTCGAGTATTATTCGCGGGAATATTGAGCCTGTCGCTCAAGTGCGCGTTACGTGTTAACTGTCGTGAGTACAGAATCGGGCCGACGAGGTGAATCGTATCAAGTTCATAGTACAAAAGCACGTGGTGTTAATCTTTTTTTTGGTTTATCTTATCAAGTGGCGATAGACAAGTCATCGGAATAGTTATTGTAGGCAGAAGATTCGAGGAAGCGTTCGATCATAGCGATCGATCGTGTCGCAAGCAATTGTAAGAAATAATACATTCTGGACGATGCATGCTTTAAACGAATTACAGGTCCATTCGTTGACGATTATCTCAAAAGAATCTATTTCGTTCTCGACGTGACGCGATCACTGATAATGCCGTGCAGACGATACGTCGAACAGCTGTCTCACCGTCACACGTTTACCCCCAACGAGCGTTGGCTACTATCAAGTCTGAGAATTCGGTTTGGTGTCGTAAAACGGAGACCAAAGATCAAAGATCGCCAGAAAATTATAACTCACAGAACATCCCGTGCTAATCACGATACGGATTCAGTCGTTCGTCGACCGCTACGGAGTATATCACGCTGTTGGATCGGCTGCTCCTCGTGTCCTTTCCTCGTTCCTCTTCCTTTACATATATGTACATGCGTGCGTATGTACGTTACCAAACACGCGGCCATACACTCACACCATTCTTGACCCTTGGATCGCATATAGTGATAATTTCCTCTTCTGATCACGGTGGGAAAAACGACTCGTTAGTCGACAGGAATCGTCGAACTCGTTAACAGGAAGCCACGAGACCCAAAAAAGTAACGGTAGTCTCTTGTGTACGCGAGGTAAGCATTTTGATTTGCAATCGTTTACAACTTTTCAAATTTTAAATCAGACCTGCCGATAGTGTTGTTTCTAGGGACACATCGATGTTAAAAGCATTCATACACCGGACTCTAACTATATTGCCGTGTGTATTAGTTTTGCTATACACTGTGCTGTATCACCATCAATTATATTGCATTGTATCAACACAAGTTGCATCACAACGTACTGTATCGTCTCGAGTTATATTACCACGCATTATATCGTCATGCGTTGCATATTGTAACGATTTATGTCACGTGTTATATTGCCTCGTGTTGTATTGCCACATATTGTATCACGTTATATAATCATGAACTGTACACGCATTATATCGCCACATATTGTATCATCTCATATCGCCACGCATTATATCGTCATGCGTTATTGTAACGAGATATAACGTCACGTGTTATATTGCCTCCTGTTGTATCGCCATATATTGTATCTCTACGTTATATAATCATGAACTGTACACGCATTATATCGCCACAAATTGTATCTCTATACATTACATAACCATATGTTACATCGCCACGCGTTATATCACGTGTTACATCATCACACATCAATTATGCAATTCTTATAAATCCTCATTAAAATCGAGTCCTTAGAATCAAAATCAATACACCATACATTAATTTTTATAAATTATTAAGTACAGGGTCCCAGAACACCTAGGTACATTGGTACAACACTAACGGCGGTCCGAAGTGATTAATGCGATTTTTTCTTTGACAGTTCAAATCATATGTATGCAAATCTAATAATTATCATGTATAAATGATCTATCATGGTTCGATTGGAATGATTCTAAATCATTCTCGATTCAAACTTGATGGATTACGCTACTTATACCGCAGTATGATTCGAGGTTATTCGGTAATGTTCTTCTTCACTTATTCCGACATACGAGTATTAACATGATTGTGGTTTTCCGCAGAGAACATCGTCGATAGTTCACACGTCGAATTCACGGTCAAATTCGTGATCAAGTAATCGATCAATGGATCGTTAATTCTATGCACGTTAAATATTTTAAATAACCAGATGAGATTTGTTTGTATTCCTTTTATTGCCGATAACACGTGCCACGCGCGACGCCAGTCCGCGTCAAGACATTTATATTAAATCCCTGTAATCTTATTCATAATAATTTCATGCGCTGTTGTATCATAATGCAGAACCGGTTTAACCGCCATTTAGACACTTTCGCATTTTATGGAAATCATCCTTGTAGTTGACTTTGACCTCCAATAAGTTTGTGTCAAACGTGTCCTACATCAAAACTTTTACGTATTTATGAAGACCCGCATCTTCACAATTTCTATGATTTGTTCCTGTTTCAAGGAAGGTTACGCGGTTGAAAGTATTCAGTGTCATTCGATACTTCATTAGCGAAGACAATAGTAATATGACGATGTAGATGAAACTACCTGTGCAACGATACACGTTCCATACTGGCTGACGGTAAATTACTAACGAGAATGTAGCACGGAATCTGCAGTCTGTTGGATCGATGCTTTCGCAGTGATCGCGCTCTTCCGTTTATAACCTCCTGTCGAGTTTACATATCTATATCAAATCTTTCTTCCTGTTTCGAAATATCATTCTTTAATTAGTGATGAAGCAATTAAATATATTTTTCATTTGTACATACCTTGATTTAAGTAAAAGATGTCCGATCACGTACGATCACGTCCGTACGGTCCGAAGATTTCAGGTTAGTTTTTTCGATTTTATTTCGTGGACGATTTTCCGTCTTTTATGAATGAAAGTAATTAGTGATTATGCAGATAGGGTACAACTTACCGATTTCAATGATCTTGACACAAGTTGGGGTGCGTTTAAATTTAGAACGAGGAATGTTGAGCAAGAGCACTCGTTCTCTCTTAATGTAAATGACCATTGAACAGCGTCGCAAGTAAACGCGCGAATTTTCGTGAAATTTAAATCGAGCGTTTGAATGTTCAATGCGGTGAATTGAACCGTGTCAAATTGAAGCGATCGATGCCAAGTCGGTAGGTCAAGTTCAATCATAAATTTAATAATTTCAATTTGAAAAGCAAATCATATCGATTTCCAATTAAAAACATTGCATTGCACATTTACCACATTAGCTCAAAACATTTATCATATTTAACTATCGTAGAAATAGTGCAGGTATTCATTACATGCTAATGTTATGCACAATGCGCAATTGTCGTCGCAATTACATGCACTTATGCGATACGCTTTATCGGTATAAATCGAAAATTAATCGCGAGGACTTACGTCGGCCATTTTGTATCTACGATAATCGTCGCACAATTCGTGCAGGAGTACTTTTACGTGTAAATGGCAATTCGACAAATACGAGTTGAAGTAATGCACATGGCGATTAGTTTTGATAGCCACCGTAAACACAACATAAACCCATGATGTACATACGAGGCAAAACGTATGTGTAGACTACGTTCACCTTGGCACAACTTAAGCGTAACACGAGTTATACAGGGTCCGATGTTCAATGTCGTAAAACTCGTTATCTGTAAACTGCGTAAAGTAGTTCACGCGCTTTTCTCGCTTTTTACATAGGGTGGTCTTCTTTAACTTTTTTATACATGAAGAGAAATATAGCTAATATAGTTGATCATTTATTAATGGAATTTTCAAAAGTCATTTAGCAAGTAAACAATTTTGTACTTTGAACCTTCTTTGAAGTACAAGATTTATATATGTATAAATAGTCGGAATTAAATAACTAATAATTTATTGAGGGTCAATTATTTAATTCAGACTACATTTTTATATATGTCAATCTTGTACTCTAAAGAAGGTTTAAAGTACAAAATTAAAAATTTAGTTGCTGCATGATATTTGAAAATTTTTTTAAACTTAATTGCGAAAGTACAATCTCTGTGACAGACAAGGTCGCACTTTTTCAGTAGTCACGGTACAAGGAACAGTTAGGTTAGGTAACATGAGATGAGAAATTAAAAATTATATTCGAAAATTAACGAACTAATGATTAACTAATTCACGAATTATCTATTCATGTTCTTAACGGAATAATTGTAATTTGAACGTGTCGGATTACACACGTCCATTTTGCCGGTGGACGCGTTAAAGCATACTCGAGGCGCATATTTCATAATTAATTCGACGACAGCTAATTGGGTCAATGTCGCGTATCTATTCCCTTCTAGTACTTTTCATTACAAAGAAATACCCCGCTATATTGCAGTTTCTGAATGAAAAGTGAAAGTAATGAATGGATAGAGTTGATAAACTTTTAAATGCCAACTCAACGACTTTGATATCTGCTTTCTATAAGCAGCAAGTAAACCATGACGCTTCGATTATGATTGCAAAATCATTACACATGTTTCAACGCAATTTTTTGTATGAAAAAAAAATATGCAAGTAACTGGATGCATATATTTTCAGCAGATTTGAATATTTAAATGAGTTCCTATTAAGACATCGACTTTAATTGATTTGACATACATCCATTGCTAATTACATTTATAAAACACTGCAATTATTTTGAACGCAGAAATTCAATTATGTAAAATGTTTAAAATGGAATTCAATGAATTTTTTAATTTGTTAGGGTATTGATATAGGAGACTCTCGTAATATTGCCGCAACGTGAGCTAGTTTACAGATTATATGACTTTAACTTTTATATTTAGATTCTTATATCACTAGATCCCTAAATTTTTGGATTCTCAAATATTTAAATAGAATTTTGATATTGTAAAATCCCTAAATTCAACAAATTCTTAGATTTACAAATCTGTAGAATGCAAATATCCCTAGATCACAACATTCTAGATTTTGTAAATCCCTAAACTTCAAAATTTGTAAATTCAGAAACTCTCAAAGCCCCAAATCTCTAAATCACTAAATTCTAAGATCAAAAATTCCTAGTTCCTGAAATTCCTAGATTCTTATATCACTAAACCACAGAATTCTCAGATAAAAAATCCCTAGTTCCAAAAACCCCCAGATTCCTATACCACTAAACCACAGAATTCCCAGATAAAAAAACCCTAATTCCAAGAATCCCCAGATCCCCAAAATCCTAAACCACAAAACTCCTATATTAAAACTTCTTAGTTCCAAAAATCCTCAAATCCCTAAATCCCTAGCTCCAAAAATCCCCAAATCTCTAACTCCCTAGTGCCAAAAATCCCCAAATCCCTAAATCCCTAGTTCCAAAAGTCCTCAAATCCCTAAATCCCTAGTTCCAAAAATCCCCAAATCCCTAAATCACTGATTCCAAAAATCTCCAAATCCGTAAATCACTAGTTCCAAAAATCCCCAAATCCCTAAATCCCTAGTTCCAAAAATCCACCAATCCCTAAATCACTGATTCCAAAAATCCCCAAATCCCTAACTCACTAGTTCCAAAAATCCCCAAATCCCTAACTCCCTAGTTCCAAAAATCCCCAATTCCCTAAATCCCTTGTTCCAAAAATCCCCAAATCCCTAAATCACCAGTTCCAAAAATCCTCAAATCTCTAAATCCCTAGTTCCAATAATCCCTAAATCCCTAAACCATAAAATCGCCAAATCCCTAGACCAAAAATCTCTAAATCCCCAAACCTCTAGTTCCAAATCCTTCAACCTTAAAATCCCTAGATTCCTAAAATTCATAAATTCCATAAACTTCTAGATGCACCGAATCCTTTAATAAAAATCCCTAGCATTAGCAACACATATTAGAACGCATTAGCAACACCTTCTATAATTTTTACCTGTCACTGATTATTATAAAGTGATTCATGCAATGAACACGTTAAAAATAAATGTTCATAATCATGCGACTTCGTCGCAGCAAAAAGTAGTTTATTTTACGTTTCTTTTCATTACCCCTTTCTTATCACATAATCTTCCCCACCGGATTATAAACGCAACGTCAAGTTATCCGTCTTCTTTTAAATGGGTCTGCAACGCGATATGATGGTACTTTAATGGTGAAGTGGTAGCCTTG